CCACCCTCATCTGTCTCTCCCCTCCCTGGGAGTCACTAAGGCCACATTCTCAGGGAAAGTGTACAAAGACCATGATAGGCATTACAAGCATTGACACAAGATGAATACACGCAAGGTACGCTGCCCACAGCTGCCCCTCTTTGATCCTTTCCCCACTAAAATAGAAGCTTTGGGAGGGGGCATTTTGGTACTAGGAATTTGGGTAGAAAGTTGCTGGTACAGATTCACCCAGATTCCAGTCTCATCTGCCACATATGAGAAGGTTTGATTTTCTGGCCCATTTCTACCATGGAGGATGGCATGTGTCCCTATCACCACCAGGACCCCTACAAGGACTTCTTCATCCTAGGTGAGGGTCCCCACTCCAGCTCCTCATGGCTCTCCAGCGACCCACACAGCAATGTCTCCCTTCGGGATCACTGGAGCCGGCACACCGTGCGCTCTCATCCCCAGGGCGTGCTGGGCTGCCGGGATTGACCGCTCACTACCCACTGTGTCCCTGCCACCTTCTCTGTCCCACCCTGCAGCTGGCTTAGGGCTGGGTCCTCCCACTTTGGGGGCTGCCCTCACTCGTGCCCGAGAACATTTCTGTATCACCTCCTGTGATATATGATCTTGCCTTTCTACACCCTGTCCCAGCCTAGCAGAAGGGCTTCCAGCATGTCCGCTGAGCCGGCTGAAAGTGTGCGGTGACTTCTTGGCTCACTGTGCCCTCCCCAGAGGGCAGATACCCAGCCTCTCTGTATGTCTGCCCTTGGCGGGGGTTGTTCGGATCCTTTCTGCTCCCTCTGGCTATTCCCGTTCCCTGGTGCCCCTATGCTCCTCCCTCTGGCTTTCCCCTGCTTCTCCTGCCCACTACTGTGCCTCACTTCTCCCTGCTGCTCCCTCTGCTGGTCCTTATTCCGTCTGCATAGTCCCCATCTGACTCTTCCTTGGTCCCTCTGTTTCCTGTTCCCTCTTAATGTAGGTTGTCCCTGGCCTCTTTCCTGATTGCCCCTGGATTCCTCTAACTGTTCCATGCCTCCTGTTTCTTCTTCCCTTTGACTGCTTCCTGCTGCCCCTGACTGTCCTGTGTTTTCCTTGGACAGTTTTCCCTTGAGCTGATCCTTAGTCTGTGGTACATTTCTTCTGATTGTGCCCTAGTCCATCTGGCTGTTCCCTGGTCCTGATGAGCCTTACTTGTTCCTTCTGTTTGACACAGATTGACTGCCCTTTGAGCCCTCTGACTGCCGCCCAGTCCCAATTCTTTCCTGTGCCTTGGGCAGTCCTGGAATGCATTTCTCAGACACCCTCACTTGATGCTCCCACATCTGGTTCGGGGACCACACTTTGCGGAGAGCTGGTCGACCTGGCTCCTGGCCTAGGCTCTTGACCACCAAAGTCTACTGGTTCTGTGCACTCTGCACCATGCTTGATTCTGTACTTTCACCTTGTCCATCGTTTCCATCATGTCTGACTATTTGCTGGTTCCTCTGGTTGCCTCCTGGGTAGGGTGACCAACTGTTCCAGTTGTCTAGGACTTCCTCTGTTTTAGCACTGAAGTCCCACGTCCCAGGAAATCCCTGTCACCTTATTCCAGGGAACTCTGGTGGTTCCTCAGCCTCTCTCCAGCCTCTGCAACTGTCCCTTCACCCCAGTGCCTGTTGCGTGGGGCCTCTGGCTGGCAACTAGCTTCAGGAATGGCTACTATGCCTTTCAGCTGTTCTCTAGTCCCTCTTGCTGCTCTCTGGTCACTCGAGTCACTCTCCAACACCAGGTAAACTTTGAATGCCCACTTCGTTGTGTCCCTGTCCTCTGGTTAGCCCCTGGGACTTCTTAGTAGACACCCAGTGCCCAGCACAGCTTTGCTGTTCCCTCTGGCTGTTCCCCAACCTCAGAGACTATTCCTTGTTCCATGTGGCTCCTGGTTTCCCCAGCTACTCCTCAGCCTGGGAGGCCTTTCTTTGTCCTTCAACTGTCCCATGGGTCAGTCCCTTCCCCACCCCTCCACCTGTTCTGCAGCCTCAGCAGCTGGTCCCTGCTTGTTCTGGCTGCTATCTAGTCCCTTCCCATTCTTTCCTATTCCTTGTTCCCCAGTACCTCTGCCTTTCCCCATCCCCTCAGATTCCCCTCTAAACCCTGGTGCCTTGAGAAGTTGCTTGTCTCACAGGCTCTTGCCCAGAACACCATACCCACCTGCTTTTTTTCCATTTTAGAGCCAAATCTTCTGTTTTCTCATCCCTCTGGATGGTCCCTGCTCCCTCTGGCTGCTACCTGGTTCCTCTACGTTCTGATCCCTGCTCCTATTTGGAGCCCCCTCTTACTGTTCTCGGACCAGCTTCCTTTTCCTTGCTCTCCATTTCTCCAGCCCCAGTGACTGTTTCTTGGTTTCTCTGCTGCCCCTGGCTTCTGGGCTTCTGTTTCCCCGTTTCCCCTGTTTGTTCCACTGCGTTCTCAATTGTGCCCGGGGCCCCTTGGCGATCCTCTGTCTCCAGCAAGTGCACCAGGGTTCCCTCAGCAGGTGCCTGGGGCTATTGCGCATCCCTCTTTCTCTCACTGACCCTTCTGCCTGTTTTTCCAGCTCCAGCCACTATTTCCTGGTCCTGTTCTTGGGAAGGAAGAGATGAGTGGAGAAATGTGCCTCGTACAGCCCAGAATCATTCATCTAGAAATTCCCACACACCGGCTGGCCAAGAGGCCACTTGTAGAAAGACTGGGGAGGACCACGTTGTTGTGGCCCCAAAGTGTGGGTCTGTGACGGAGATGACAGAGCAGAGCCTAAACGCCTCCACGGGTACAAGTGCACTGCAGTTAGGCAGCATTTCCTACTTATTCCTTATTCGGTGACCCGGGCAAAAAGATTTAAGCGTAGGAATTTTACCACAGCAGTGTTAATCACAACAGAAAACCTGAAACGCCCTAAGTGCACACACAGTGGAGGGGTTAAATTAAAGTTTATCCAAAGGACATAATGCGGTGTGTTATGTGTACGTGAAGACAAAAGTATTTAGTGCCTAGAAAATTATGTTAAACTGTCAAATTAAAAACCAGGCAACTGGGCGCCTAGGTGGCTGAGTCAGTTAAGCATCCAACTCTTGGTTTTGGCTCAGGTCATGATCTCACAGTTCGTGAGATTGAGCCCTTGGTCGGGTGGGTTTCGTACTAATGGTGCGGAGCCTGCTTGGGATTCTCTCTCTGTCTCCCCGCCTCTTTCTTTTTTAATTTATTTTATTTAAAAATAATTTTTCTTTTTAACGTTTACTTACTCTTGAGACAGAGAGAGACAGAGGATGAATGGGGGAGGGTCAGAGA